CTACATATATATATATATATATATATATATTTGAGCAGTTACACATTTTCGTTAACCTCACGCCCTTCGAAATTTGATTTCATTAACAATGTATCTATTCAAGTTCTCACTTGCGCTTCTCAATACAATGTTGTTCGTCTTTGACCGTGTATAGCGTTAGCACATCGTTGAACGTGAAAACGTGGATGCACTATAGTATTACAATTGGGAATTTATTTGCTACCCAATAAGTACACTGTCTGCCATTTCCTAAAGAATTCATATACAAAAATCTCTTTGAATGATTTATGTATTTGTTCTGTAATATTATATTATGTTAGGAACACTCCAATTAACATTTGTAACTTCGTAATTCCATTCGTTAATATCTTGCAACTAATTTGTGCAAAACATAGGCAAGTCAATTTGAAATGTGTCGATAATACAACTAAAATTACACGTTGTCCATTTGTGGAAAAAGAAGTTCTCCACTACTGCACTTTCCTATAACCTGCAGTCTGTAGTTACTTTCAATTTCTTTTCAAACCTGATTTCGATGAACACGTGATTTCATACAAACTCTTAAACAAGCTACTTTAGAAGTCAAAATACAGATGAAAGAGAGCAGTTGAACTTTTGGCTTTACAATTGTTTGTTTTTTTTAGAGAAAAGGAGTGTTCAGTACGGGACTTCTTTGTGCAACTCAACTGTTGCTACTAATTATTCATTGTTCAATTTGCGCATCTCTGCTTATACGATAAGACAACCCGAAAAAAACATATTATTCAACAAGCGCTTCATTGTGAAAACTGAACCCCTAAGCTACATATGTCTAATTCGACAGTCAGGATCACTTATTATTTTCTATTGTTTATTTTAACAAAGTTGATCGGTATTTATTTGCATATGATGTTTTGAAACAGATGCATTATCATCATAACCTCGCCTATTTAACTAGCTTGTTAGTCAACTAGCCGGTCCCAAGCCCAGGTTAAGAGGCAGGGTTGTGCGTAAGGCTAGCAACCCCACACCTTTGAACCTAACAAACCGCTAAAGAAACTTAAACGCACAGAAAATATATTAAAAATACAAGAACTTCTCTAGTGATTGACAAATTCTATTACTGCATTGTTTAAATGCTTACTGTTGTTAAGTAATATTTATTATATGAATTGAAAATAATTTCGCCAAATACAAATTCTTAAATTCATCCCTTTCTGTGTTGTTGGTTAATTTCCTGTGATTTGGTCATTGAGAAATGCTACTACTACAAATAATTATAACAACTTCAAATAACAACAATCTTATTCTTCGCTAGAATCGGAGAAGTGAATTAATACTAGCTGGTGAAAGCCTCCAGGAAGCCAGTCAGCCTATGTGTATTCTCTCGACAAAAGTAAGAATGAAAATGGGGAAGTGGAATGCCCGTACAATGTACGAGGCTAGGAAGGCTGTCCAGGTAGCCGAAGAAATGAGAAGATATGGCCTAGAAGTGCTGGATATCTGCGAGAGCAGATGGAATGGATAATGATTATCGAAATTGTCAACCGGAAAGTCACTAATCTACTCCGGCCACCCAGACGACAACCACGAACACACTGAGGGAGGGGCTATCATGATGACACTAGTGGCAGCCAGAGCCCTAATGCAGTGGGAACCAATCCCCTCATCCAGGATCATGACAGCAAGGTTCAACTCAAAAGAAAGGAAGGTCACAACTATCCAATGCTACCCACACTGCTACAAACAACGCGGAACAAAAGAACAAGGAAGATTTTTACAGACAGCTACAAACAGTAATGGACAACATCCTGAATGGTGACATCGAAATCCTTACGGGAGATATGAATGCCAAACTGGGAAAGGATAATATAAGAAGACAACTTATCGTTGGTCGAGAGGCTCTCACTCGGCGAAATGAATGAGAACGGAGAAATATTCTCAGACTTCTGCGCTTTCACTGATCTGGTGATCGGATGCAGCGTGTAAAAGCACAATGATTTACACAAAGCAACATGGATTTCGCCTGACGGACAAACCAAATAGACTTCATCTCAATGCTGCTCAAGAAGTGGAGACGCAGCTAGCCTGCTGGATACAAAGTCAAGAAGGGGAGGAGATGTGGGCTCAGACCATCATCTAGTTCAAGGAACCTTCAAGGTAAGGCTGAAATCCTTCAGAACAACTGGAGACAGGCCACTGTATTTCAAGTTCAACATTATGAAACTTAAGTACAAAACTATAAATGATACCTTCACTACACATCAGATCAGTGCAAATTTGGAGGCACTACGTCTGGGCATCACTAAGGAAACCTGCGTGGAAGAACATTGAACCTAACTCTCTGAAGGTGTACAACCATCCGGGGAAGAAAGAAGAGACAAGACAACGAATGGCTCTCAACGGACACCTACCCGGAAGCGAATAGAAGAGAGGAGAGGGGGATGGTGAAAGAGAAGATGACTCAATGCAAAGATGCACAACAGAAGTAGAAGCTGATTTCAGTGTACACTGCACTGAATAAAGAAGTGAAGACGAGTGTGAGGAAAGACAAAAGACAAGTCTACGACACACTGGCAGCTGAAGCAGAACAGACTGGCTGCAGGTCAAAGAGACCTAAAGACATTATATCAGATAATCGGGTCTCTATCCAGGAAGAGATCAACCCAGATGATGAAACCAATAAAAGATGCTGAAGGGAACCAGATTGCCAAGGAGGAGAAACAAACAGGACAATGGGCTGGTCACTTCAAAGGACTCTTGAATCCACCATTACCAACAACTCGTGCAGAAATGCCAGTAGCAGCCACAGAACTGCCAGTGGACACAAATCCTCAAACGAAAGAAGAAATCTTGAGTGCAACCAAGCTACTGAAGTCCGGCTGGGAAGACAGAAGGGCCAGACGGGATTCCCTCCGGAGCACTGAAAACGGACCCAGAGATTACGGCAGATGTTCTCACTCCATTACTGCAAAAGGTTTGGGAAGAAGGAAAGGTGTCTACTGATTGGAAGAAACGCTAACTACCTCGATTCAGGCCTGTGCAAGAACTGGTGTGGAATGATGCTCTTGTCCACACCAAGTGAAATACTAAGTCACATCATCCTGGAGAGAATAAAGGACGCACTGGATACAGAACTCCGCCAACCGGAACAAGCTGGATTCAGGAAAGGCAAATCATGTGCTGATCAAATCGCAACTCTATGAATCATCATCATCGAACAAAGCATAGAATGGCAGTCAAACCTTACTCCACCTCAACTTCATCGACTTCGAAAAGGTTTTCGACAGACAGAGTTGACTGAGAAGTAATTTGGAAACTACTTCAACACTACGGCGTACCTCACGTCTTTATCAACCTCATTCAACAGTCGGCTATATGACAATGCCACGTGTCAGTCAGGTGATCCACAACGGAAAACTCACTCAGTGAGGTGTTTGAAGTGCATACAGGAGTAAGACAGGGGTGTCTATTATCACTGATGATATTCTTAATTGTGGTGGACTGGATTATGCGTCAGACTGTGGGGAGCGAGTAGACAAGATTACGCTAGACCACCGATGAGATCTTGATTTCGCAGATGATATGTATCCAATGTCACGTAAACTCAAAGACTTAGAGGCAGCGAAAACAGGGTTGCAAGTGAACATAGAGAAAACGGTGGTGATGAAGATCACCAACCAACAACAACAACAGTAAGAACGACCAGCACCAATCACCATCAACGGGAGAGATTTAACAGAGTTTACCTCCTCCACTTATCTAGAAAGCATCGTTTCAACTACAGCCGGCACGGGTGAAGATGCCAACGTCACAATCGGAAAGGCAAGATACACCTTCATCAACCTGAAACCAGTTTATAAATCTTCTGCACTCATCAGCATAAGCAACAAGATTTGGATTTGCAGCACTAATGTGATATCAGTCAGTTCTTCTATACGGGTCATGAACTTGCACTGTGTATCACGAAAAGGATTTCCAACAGGCTACTGCAGAGTTTTATCAACAGCTGGCCGCTTTGCTGGCTTCATACGGAAGATCAAATGGCCAGAAAGAAATAGTGACGAAAAACTTTGGGAACAAACCGACCAAGAGCCGGTCAGTCAACAAATATGTTGGAGAAAGTGGAGATGGATCGGGCATACATTGAGGGAGCCGTCGAATGACATCGTACGCCAGGCAATGTCTCGAGTGGAATCCCGTTGGGAAGCGACAAGTTGTTCGTCATAGGGTGACATGGAGGAGATCGTGTGGCAAGGAGGAGATGAGAGATCATGGGCAATCGTGGACACATGAGAAGAGGATTACAGAAAATAGAACAAAGTGGAGATGAGTTGTTGAAGCTCTATGTTCTACTCGGAACCCGAGGGAGTAATAATAATATAGTTACTATACTCCTCAAAACATTCATTTTTAATGATCAGGACATCTCTTGCAAAATGCAGTCGCACAACATAATATATAAGGAGCATGAAATTACGATGTTTTTCACTACAGATTAGTCATACAAATGTGTTCTATTATGCACAATGATGTTAGAAAATTTCGAGTGAAAACTAAGAAGACGTTGTGTTTTTTGATGACATCGTTGACGGACAAAATGAAAGGTATAAAGTTTGTGCAATTCATTTTCACAAGATCATTTAGTGCATTAATTGTGCGATAAAACACTATCAATGAATTTCATGATCTAGTAAAATGACAAGTCACTGACGCGTTTTGTTTGGGTGTTGGTGGTGTCTTCTTAAAGTAAACTGTAACCTGAATCGAAACAAAGTTTCTCGACTTTAAGTTAACGATCTTTTCAATTACTAGATTATAGCTGATTAACAATCAAATTTCAGATCTTTCGCTACATTCTTGAAAATCTTTTGAAAATTATCTTCACACCCAGAGTAATTTTAAGAGGATTCACAAATAGGTCAATATAATATTTTATCATGAAGCTGAAGAAAGTTTAGATGAATAATTCTGAACAAAAGTGGACAGAAGGAAAGTAGAAAGCAAATGCATTCCTATTTCTTTGTGTTAAGATAAATAGTTAAACTTAGAAGAAAATATTTTTATTGTTGCCTACGTTTAGTTCAAATATGGGTCAATATAATTTACTGATACTTATTTTAAGATCAGGTTCACCTCAAAAACTTGTATTGGACATCTAATATTCACATTGCGTGGACGTGCATTTAGATCGCGTCAAATCCCATCCACTTCGAAATCACTGAAAGCATTGGCACTTTTATCAATAGCTTCTTCTCTCGGGCTGTTTAATGTAGAGTTATTTGATTGACTACAAGTAGAATCTAGCCATTCCTTGACATGTTCTGTTGATGATGATGAGATTTTATTCAATTCATTCAGATTGTTTTTTAGACGAGCTTCAGATATTTGAAGAGATCTTTCCAATTCGGCTGTAGACATTTCTTCAATTTTGTCGTTATTTACCGAAATACTTGATTCATCATCCTAAAATGGAGAAAAATACTGATTAATCATTTATAAACCTCAGCAGAAGTATAAAGTTTTCTAAGCCATGATTCTGACTTTCTGATGGGATCGCTATTTGAAGTGATACATCCTATACTGATTCTTAAGTGTTGATTTGTAGGAATTTAATTTGTCCCCTGTGAGGTCATGGGTCCATGTTAACGAACAGTCACGAATGAGGACGAAACAAGTGTTCAGTGCTCCTTAACTTTCAGTGACTGTCTAATTTATGTCGTTTTGTGGAAAGATATTCCTTTAAATTATGATGAGTTCATTGGTGGACAAATAACGTCCTTACGTCACTCAGTTTGTTCATGTATTTGCCATTCCACACGTATGGCTCCATTGATACAGAATTAAATGGTTTTCCTTCACAAAGTCATCGTTTTCACAACTACCCTGGTTATCCAGTTTAAAATGAGCTGACATGGAAGTGGGAACCGCAAAGTTGGTAGTTATTACCTTGAAATAATCTTTTCAGGAAACACTTGTCTCTTTGTAGACAAACACCATCTTAGATAGATGGTAGATCAAAGTCTGACAGTCCGTCGAATGTTCTGATATTCAGATATTAAAGGAAAATGTGGCAATTCTGAAAATACTGACTGTTGATTTGATCCATATCCATATTTCAGCCAATTTATGTTCTAACTACTAATAATCAGTTTCCAAATTCCCTTTTACGCATTTAGAAAAAACATCAGATTGAACGGAGAATTGTTTCCGAAACTAAGATTATAATTCACGGGTGATTTCAATGTTGAAACCTCATTGCAACGTTTGGAATGGGCCTTCAAAATACTTTCAACGCAGCCACGTTATGCTGTATGTTCACTAGCCAAACAATACTTGGTTCAGAAAATAAAGACAAACTGCCCTATTTTGCCTCTTCCATGTGTTTTTACCAGTTTAACTGCTCATGTAGAGCTAGTTACATTGAGCGTAAGATCAGACAAGTTCATCGTCGAATTTCTGAACACCTCCAATCTTGGTTTGGCAAAGGTCAGAATAAGGCTATACCCAGCTCAATACTAGCTCATCTCGTCGATACTGACTGGACATCAAGTCGACTCTAACAAAGCTGTTAATGTTATTTGTTGTATTTCACCCAACTTCTTGCATGGTCTACGAGTACGACTTGTGCATGCAGCAGAGGCAATCGGAATTCATCTGAACAAGTCAAATCTGTTTGTTCAAAAGAAATTTGTACAACTCCTTTGTTTGCCATGGCCAACTACTTCTTCTGAGTCATCCTATTTTTCATAGTCATCATTGCTATTTTACAAATTTCTTGATTATGTAATAAATTGGTGCTAACGCCTACGAATTAACTTATCTTGAATTTCGTAATTAATGTTCACTCGTCATTCAAAACTTAGATATCTTGTTATAAACACCTATTAGTTAATTGTTCTGATGACTTTTAACCGTTTAATTTCATCTTCCTATACTTAAAACTGGTTCACTTGTGGAGTCCTCAAAAATAAACTTATCCAAATTTTACTATTATGTAAAAAATGAACATATTGTACACTACTTTGTTTTAACCAAAAACTCTGTACTTTGAACTTCCCTCGAGTTTTAAAAAAATATATAATTCTGCCTTCGACTCTCCGTCTTCTCCACCATCTCAACTGCCGTCGATCAATTATAACAACCTGCTTTCTATCTCGAATTTTTGCAGGAGCACCGTAGCCTCTTCCTACGCACTTTGGTCGACCTCCGGCAACGTCAACACTGGAGAATTAAAACTGGAGCAGTCTTCCCACAGCACTTCTGGAATCCAGTACGTTTATTGTGGAATTTGGATCTTTGTAAACCCAAGTAACAAAACTTTAATATATTCTTCCCGTAACTAAACTGATTAGGTATTTTGTTTTCTATTTGAATTTTGGGTAAATAAGCTAACAGAGCAAAAGGTCCACCACACACTAATAAGTAGTTGAACTAGAATTAGTTGTGTTCTCTGAGCTCAGAGAATACAACTAATTTTAAATCATCCACCTGAGCTGCAAATCTTCTCTATTATTTCAAGTAGTTGAACTGATTAATTTTAAAGTTCAGAACAGGGACCAATAATTAATTGGGTTTACAAGAACCTATGTGAGTGACTTTGGTAGCCTCCAACAGAGGGTCATGTATTGGTAGTCCAATATGGATTTTAATTTCATAACGATCATTATAGTTATTTTGCCAGGGAGGTCATACTAAAATTGTGCTGATAAATACAAGAGGTAATCAGAAATCGTACATTCACCGTTTTTCTAGATAAACGTGCATCAGAATATCTATGTACTATACACACTAATCTGGCACAGAAAAAATTACATAAAAAAGTGCTACTAACACCATTAATAAAAAATCACCGCAACTCAAAGAAAACATCAGAAACTTTGAAATTATCTGCAAACACTAAATGCCTTTAGTAGTATTTTGAAATCTTGAAAGATATATGGAATTCTCTTTCGTAAATGAATCTTCTAATTTCTTATGATGCTAAGAAATAAATTTATCATAATTTTTGAGAGCTTATAGCTAATGAAGGTGGTAGTAAATTAAAAGTAATCCTCTAAGAATCATGTTAAATAACGTATGCACCAGTCATGCAAGATGGAATAATCGCAGGTATATAGCGAATTTGTTCACGTCTATCCATTGAACAAACCAGGCGTCAGAAATAGCATCCATTCTACTTAACGGCTTAGTGGTAGTTGGAAATTGGTATTGATCCATATTTTTGCAGATTGATTCAGAAATGTACGTTAATGAAGTAGAAATTTAGATTTTAGTGAAACGCTAGAGTTTCTCAGGACTTAAGTAAACTGAAAACTGCTTCATAAACGCATATGTAGACAGTTAAATTTTATTGAGGGGAATTAGACAAAGGTTACAGTTAGTTTCAAGAGAATCCTCTAAGTTAACCACCGACTTTTATAGAATAATGAATGACCCTAGGAGTACATACCCTGTCGCTCGCTGCACTTATTCACTAATGTGACATAGAAATAAACACTCTGAGCCATTACAAATGTGTTTTCGTTTATTATGCGTTGGCTATCGATTGAATTCTGTTTCGAGAATTCTCAGCTAACAAGTTTCAATAAGATTAAAGCATAATATTGTAAAATTAGTAACTTTAACTGGTTTTACGAGTTTATTACTTACTAGCGCTTAAATTTTAAGTGATGAATCACTTTGTAGTTTCATTACAGTCCTATATACATAAGGTATATCTTATTTCCTCTTTCGGAAACTACTATGGATGTCTGAATGACTAATCAGACTATTTTACTACTTTGAAGCGTCATTACTGTTAATTTCCCCATTTAATCTTTTTGGCAATCTTGTTTTTTGCGTAAATTTGGTTAATGCTTACAACATTTAGATTTTATATTCTGGAGCTGTGATATGAGTGTCAGATCATTTTTTTAAAATCATCTTTCAACGGTTTACAACTGTAGACTGAAAACTTAGTGGAGAATTTCGGTTCATGAAGTCTATCAAAGAATCGACATTTCAGCCTTACATCTATTCATACAACATCATGTAGCTGGAAAACGAACAGTGTTTGAATAAAATATTGTGTTTCTTGATATGCGTATGAGAGGCATTGAGTTACCAATTTTATTATCTGACTAGTGTCAGTCTGTCTGGACATCTACCTTTAAATTATCCAGATATATGTAAATGTAACGTCTGAATATCAACTCACTTCAAATTAGCAACTACCTTTCAAATGTGTTCACTGAGCTTCTGAGAGCTTCACCAAGTTAGGTATGGGTAGATACTCGTGGATGACATTTAATGGCAGTTGAACTTTATAGCAAGTTAACATAGGCTGAACATTGTGGAATGCGAGGTAACATGACTACGTTTTTAACCTGTAGGTGTTGATTTTAATCACTCATAAAGTCTTTTGTAGACATTGCCGACTTGGAGCAATTTTATTTGTAAATTCAACTAAATTTATAAATCATATTATGCCCAACGATAACGGGACTAAGACCTTATTCTTCGTGGTTTTTGATTGTTTTCTAATTACTCTGGTTCAGCAATGAAATCAGTTAAATTTATCAAACATCAACGTGTGCATTATTGTATTTGTATATGGATTCACTTTGGTGTGTTTAGGAGTTCAGAAGATTCAACGTCTTACCATGTAAGCAGTGAAGCATAGTTTCGTCGATGAGATATATGTTCAAACCCATTACCAATTCAGTTTCTAGTTACGACATTCTTCAGCTATAAGAGGAACTAGTGCTAACGTCAACTTGAGTTTCATAGTCTCACATGCCTACAAATTGCATTGAATATTGTTTATGGTGAATATTCAAGCCAGTTTACATCATTACAGTCCAAAACATTAGATGCAGAATTTACAATGAAAACGTTAAATATCTGATACCTTAAAAATCATCCAAACATCATCGTGTTGAAAACTTTTATTCGACTTTCACTTGAAGTCATCTTCTGATATCAGTTAATGTTGTTGTTGGTTTGAGTGACACTTTCTAATCCTATCTTAGTTTGTGCAGCAGGATTGTATCATGAACAGTTTAAAATAGGGCGTGATTCAAAATCTATCGCAATAAGTCTCTGCAGTTGATTGATTACATCGTTTTTGTAAAAATTATTTACTTTTTCGGTGATATTTTCTATCATAGCTGCAGGCAGACTACATAAAGGAGTATTGGTTGTCAAATTTTATACGTGTTATGACATTCAAATTCTTCCTTTCAGATATCACAAGAACTCATTTATAGAGAATAGCAGTGTAAGTCATACGATTTACTATTAGATACAAGTGAATTAAAAATCCTTTTACACTTTCAGGTTTATTTGAAGAATATTTTACATATTCTTGAAGAGTGAATAATAAAAAGTTCAAGAAATGGATAATGGTAAATTAATGTGCACCCCAACAGTTAACTTAAATGAGCTTCTGTCATAGTAATATTTGTGGGTGTTTGTCAAAGCGT